TTTTACAAGATTAAAGTAATACAAGCTGTGATAATTCAGCAATTTTTATAGCATATCACTCTTCCTTCTCCCTTGACTGATGGAAGGAAGAATGGAAGAGCTCTAGTCTCCTGTCTATGTTCTTCTTGTAGCTCAAGGGAGACAAAACGTAGTAGAGATATTCTGCATTCGCACTTTATATTTTCACTGTCTCACTTGCAACCTAGGATTTGTATGTCCTGTTTAGTACATGTCTATCAAGAGCTATCCCCAAGAAGAAAATATGAAGGCAGAATAATAAAGAGTACCACTAGTCCTGGTTGCTGCTTTCCAATAAGTGAATGATAATTCTGGAAACTAACTCCTGTCTAAATTCCAAACTTTACTGTCAGTTCAGAGGGACTGAATACTGCTGACAGATACCATTATATGAATGTCAAATATGGATCTCTCTTCAATTCAGGAATGTTCAAACTTTCATTCTAGGAACTTCTCCACAAGAGATGACAAGAATTGACGAAAATAGTCATTAATCATCCCTCAGTTTCTGCATTTAAGATATATGTACATTCGAGCAAAATTATGCTTTTCTACAAGTGCTTTGAACTTATTTACCACAGAGTGTGAAAAAGTGTGGAGATTTTATGTTCTGAAGCCAAAGATCATTCATTTTCAGAATAAAGTTGCGTTAGAGAGAAATATTCTCAGGATCTAAACATATCTAAGTAAGTTATAGCAGAAGCATGTCACTGTACAATGCCTATATGATTATTCAGTCAAATGCACAGCCCAAAAATTTGCTATACCGGGTGCCACTAGATTACTCCTATTACAATAGGTACTACTGTAACTAAATTTTGGTACTGAGTAGGCTTAGAGACTAAATTCCCAAACATAGAGAGTTGTAACAGCTCAAAGTTCGACCCAAGGTTTTACTCTATTGTACAGAAAATAACAATTGGTATTTATTTTAGGAAGACTGTAATTCCAAATAACTAAGGCTCCCTTTAGCCCAAAACATCTTTATCTTCTTGAATCTCCTGAGTAGGTCTTCAAACTCTCTTCTGCCTACCTTCAGCATAATTATGACTGCTTCTCATTGAGAAATGTGGAGAATTCAGTCAGCTCTTTCCTCCAAGATTCTCTTCCTTCGAAAACTGCTGGTCCATTTTTCCTCCCCATCAAAAATCAGACTCAACATTCAGAAGGGTAATTAAGTACACCTGGAGGAAAGTATGACCTCAGAAAGTAGAGATCTCTCACTCCTGAAATTTCTTCAGATCCTTACGAAACAGGCAAAGTACTTCATCCCTGTCCCTCACAGAACTTGTCCTCTCACAATCCAGAAAGACAACATTTAGTTAAAAAACTATTCTTCAGCCTTTCCTTCCTTGAAGCAGAGATTAACCAAATGACAATACCATAGTTTGACAGAGTTGCAGTGAGACTGTGTCTCTGATTTGGATGTGGGCTGAACGACGCTCCAGAACAAAGTAATCACTCACTATCTTTGGTGATACAGATCTTACTGAAATATCAGAGTCTCCAAACAGGATGCTTAGCACCCAACAACATTGTCCCCTAGGTACAAGAACATGAGATATCATTTCACAAACAGTCTGAACTTTCTGCCAGATTAAAGAAATCTCTCAGATGGTAGCTATTAAGACAAAGTAATAGAAGTCTAGAAATAAACACGAATATGTGAAAGTCAGGTGATCAGTTAAAAAAAATACGTATGTGACACTGGAAAGCAGTGGCAAAAGCAAATAGTAGTTTGACAAAATGGACACAACTTGATATATTCCAATTTTGGGTCTCTGAGATAGAAAAGGAGTATTCCATTTACCAAATCCTAAGGAAACAGCTTTTTCAAAATAAATTGGCACAGTCTCTCATTTGCCAGGTAAATTGCTACAGTTGCTCCAGGTTACCTGGGGATCATCACTGGAAAAATCTATCATCGTCTTTTTCTTCAGACTGATCACAGGTTAATCACACAGAGCCAAGTAAAGCCATACTTATATAATGAAATAAAATTAATCTCATGGGACACTATGAATTATTTGGATTCTTACCTCGTCATTTTGTCCCTGAGAGTCTCTCTGAAGTCATAAATCCTCCAAATCCAAAGTATTTTGTATTTTTTTTATATAGAGCAACCCAAATAATATAATATCCTTCAAATTATCAGTGTTTAAGATTCCACCTTTTCTAGAACTCTTACAAACTGAACTTACAATTTAGATAACATTACAGGGTCTGTGGATTGATGTAATTTAATTTGGATTGGGGGGGAGGGCGCATTTTAGCCCTCCTCTGCCTTTCTTCACTTTCGAAGAAAACAATGCTATTCCTAAAATAGTTTCCAGCATCGTAGAGTCGTATCTCATTTTCCATTAATGATCATTTTTCTGCTGAATCTGACGTCTCCTGTACTAAAAAAATCTAAAACTTACTACAACTTGAAGATTTTTTTTTTCTATATTCTATTTCCGATTTTACAAGAGTCCATCTTTGTGACATAGTGGAATGGCTCATTTTGTTAAACAGAGTAGTGAAACACATTTAATAACTCATCATTCTCAGATTAATCTCTGACAAAGAAAATTAACTCCTATTCTATCACTGATGGTATAAAAGGATTTTTTACCATTTGGCAACACTTGGTCTCCAAACCTTTTCTCTAAACATGACAGACTAAATACAGTATCTTCATCTGACAGTCTTAAAATGTCACGTCTTTTAAGCACCAGCTCTTTTTACGGAGTAATTTCCATTTGCATCTCATTTCTGGAATCCTACAAAGCACTGACTCTGCTTGGATCTCTTCTCTTGTAACTGAAATCTCCATTAAATAAAAAAAGATTTTTTTCTACCTATTCAGCGCTAGCAATAACATAGAGCCCTCTCAAGAACAGCTAATATAGGTTGGCTACGTCTCTGATCAACTTTTTCGTCTCTCTGCAATCTTGTCTTCTAACTAGTTTCACAGCTCAGGTAATCAAATTAATTTTTAATGGAAAATATATCTCATTTTATATATTTGAGTTTGCATCTTACGAAAATCTATTTTCTGCCAATGGTTTAAAAAAACTGTACTAACAAGTCTCTCTGAAGATGCTACGAGGAAAGAACTTGTAATATGTTAGATTGACCCCAAACATGATCTTTTGTCTGGGCTTTTATTTTTCAGGTAAGAAAAAAATACATGGAGGAAGTCCTCTTGGTAGTACATAACGTATCTACGGACCAAACCTTCTTTATTCTCTTTTGTTCACATAGTATCCAAATGGGTCATGTTTTGCTTTTATATGCTGATGTTTCACAGCATATAGATGGGAGCCGCCTGTGATGATCTGACGTGTATGCTTAATGTTTGATGAACTCACTGTTTAAGTAAAAATTCTGAAAATTTAGCTGAGCTATATTGCCCAAAATGAAGTCTTTTTGCTGAACAGAAGAACCTCGTGCACATTTGCCATATGTTTGTACATATAGAGCTAACATAGTTGAGCAGCTTCCTCTCTGGAATTGCAAGTGGGAAACAGGCAGTCACAGCTAAGAGGTGAGAAAGACAGTCCTGTTACAAACTATTAGATATGAATTGGTCAATTCTCATTATGTAACTTCTGTGTATTATTTAGATATTTTAAATAGATATGGAGTTAACACCACCAAATGCATTGAAAATTATGAAACCAGTAGGTTTCTGAGTTTCTGTCTCCCACATACAAGGATGATATCAAAACGTAATTTACAAGTCCGTGTGAAGTAGCGGTTAGTTAGTGATATTTTCACTAAATGAAATTATGAGGTTATTTTAGTGATGTTTTAGTGATTTGTGATAGAAAAGTCTATAAAACATGCATTCTTATATGAATTATTGCTAGATAAACTATAGTTTGAATGACCAAATACCAATTGACATCCCTGGTATATGGATCTTGTGACAATGTTTAAATTTTTGGAAGCTAATTAGAAAAAAATAACACAGGGCCAATGCTTTTGGAATGAAATTTTAACAAATTTTTGGTGACTGAGGTCTGAATTTCACCTCAGATTTCAGAGTTAAAGGCAATTCTTAAACCTCAAGATATGAATCAGGGGATACAGATGGATATAGAGACTATGCAGTAAGATAAACATAACTTCTCTAACACAAGGAACGTATTTGGCATGGGGGAGAGGCTGTATTTGTTTCATATACTGCCAAATGAAGACTGTTGTGGGCAAACCTTTTCATGAACAGACTTTCTGTTTGAAAGTGCTGCATTACTAAGAAGATTAGGATTTGTCAAATATGAATGGATTGCTGCTATAAATGGGTCAGAATGTTCTGAAATTTTGAGGGCAGTCCCTTTTAAAGAAGCCAGGTTAAGTACCATCCTGTAAGGGCATTAAGTAAATGATTGCATTAACATTTTTAAATGTTTGTGTTCATTTTTCTTCCCTTTCCACTCAGGGTAAGTCTAATAATTTTAGAGTTAGAAATGCCTTTCTTAAAGGGATTGCCAAAAATACGTTCTTGGACAGATGTCCTAGACAGAGCCTGTAATCAAATAAATTCAGCTTGTGCCTGAATGTTAGACAAACTCTTGTAAACAAACACAGAACTGCTGCAACATGACTTCCTTTTCCATTATTAAGAATGGTCTTTTCAGAACAAGGCATACTAGTTCCGTAGTGGAGATGAAGTAAACCTATAAGGTTGCTAACATAGTTGTACCTTTTCAGTTAATGGAAACCCTTTGTTGGTCTATTTAATTTCTGCAAAAAAATCACTTTGTTCTGTCTTTGTTCCTGTTTCTTTCTGTTCCTCCTTTACAATATGTCCTTTCTTTCCACTAAATTCAAGTGTTAATAAGTAATAGTACCAGTAGGTAAAAAAAGGGATTGCCAAGTTGTCATATGCATATATGCTTTCAAGGTTTGTTGTTGTAGTTTCAAAGTGTGAAGAACTGGCTTCCATTCTTGCTGTTTAATGACTACAGCTATATTTGGCAATTTGCTTTTTCTAGGGAAGAAGCAGTGGACGCTCATTATCACTTCCTGGGAGATCTTCTTCAGTCACTTCTCGAGCCATATCTCCTACATCTCCTCTTACCTTTCAGCCTGCTCCTGATTACTTTAGCAAGGCAGGTCCAGTGGCTGACAGGCCTGGCAAGAGACCCACTCCCTGGGAAGCGGCAGCTAAATCCCCCCTTGGCCTAGTGGATGAAGCTTTTGCACCGCAGAGTATTGAGGAATCTATTGCAGCTAATGTAGTATCAGCAGCCCACAGGAAAACCTTTCCTGAGCCACCAGATGAATGGCAACAAAGAGTTTCTGATGAGCCTCCAGTCCCAAGCGGCAGCGCAGCCTTACCTGGGAGAAGGCAGTCAGGTACCATTGTATCGCCCCACAAAGGCACCGTGTCTGCCCCAAGCACCGGTGGCTCTCAGCCGCAGTACGCCTACTTCAGCCAACAGTCCAGAACAGAACCTGATACGATGTCCATGGATTCCCGGTCTGACTATTATTTGTGAACAGCAGATTCCACAGCCCAAGGCATGGATGCACTCAACATGAATGAGAAAAAGACCTGGCAGATCTTCCCTTCATCCAGCTTTACAAGCGTTAGATCTGAGTTGGAGAAGGAAAGTGTCTTGCTGGCCTGACCATCTCTGAACTGAAGAAATGAGGAGGCAATATAGAACAGAGCACTGTTTTCACAAGACTGCAGGCTCGCACCCTGGAATGAATGTGGTTTTACTCATTCCTAAGGTTGTTCTGTTTTCTAAAGAGCAAAACTGTAAGGTTTTGGGTACGTGTATATGAGAATGGGACAAAGTGATCAACACAAATGCCTAGAGTGGATATAGTGGCAGATAGCACAAATGCTTGCTGTGAAGTTAATAAGGAATGTAAAATCTGGGCATTTTAAAAGCAAGAAGTATTTTACAGGACCTTGCAGGTTCTCTGGATATATTTGACAGCTGGGATTCAATGTATGGGACATAATCAGAAAGTTCCATAATGAGAAAGTTCCAACAAGTGCAGCACTTGGTAGCACTGGTGTATTGGCCACATGTTTTTTTTTTTACCACAGTTTTAAAAAAACTAAAAAAAAAGATTAATTAATAATGTTGCTGTGGAAACATTTAAAACACATTTATGGTTATGGTACCTGAACCTCTCAACATGTAGATGGATGCTAATCTCAGTCATGCATTGCAGATGAATTTCAAGATAGTTTAGATGGCATTTTTCACATTGTAACTAATCAGTTAGACTGAACACAATAGGAAGAAGGGTAATAGAGATCAGTACCATGATGCTTGAAATACAAAAGGGATCAGAAAAGCATTTAGGTTGCATTTAAACTGGACTGCAAGTTCATTTTGTAATAAACTATTGAACAATTCCGAGGCTGAAACAGCCTTTGTTTCTCTGTGAAATGCACTAGTTGCTGAACATTTACTGCTACAGTGTCTAGCGAACTGACTGGCTGGGAAGTCATTCTTAGTATCTAGGTAGCTCAATGTGTAGAAGGCTCTTGATTCGTATTCCCAATTTGGAAGACATAAAAGAGTTGTGTTTATCAAGTTTGTTGTTTATAAAGAGTAACACTTGTCCTATGCTGATATGTGAAAGAGGGTTTATGTTATGTGTTATATGGTATGAGTCTAGTATGAGAAGAAAATATTTTGTGGTTGGTTATGATTAAACTGTCTTGATAGATGTGTAGAGATAGTATATAATTGTGGCTGGCGATATCTTGCATTTACATCTTATTTAAACAACATGAATATGTGGCTAATATATGTATTCCAAGTTTATTGGGTGGTTTAGATGTTATTAAGAAATTAATTTAATATCCCAAGTTTTAAAAAGTGCTCTGCACCCTCCTCATTTTAATAGGGCATTCTTCAAAGATCTGTCAAGCACAAGCCACAAATTTTTTTGTAGAAACAATGTTAACTGTCCTATTTAATGTTCTCAATTTCGAGTAAAGTGGTTAGTTTAGAAAGAAAGCTAGAAGATATATTCAGTAAAACAAAAGAATATTTTATGAAACATCCTCATCTGCAAACAGTTTTCCACTCAAACAGTGATACCCCAAGTCCAGTTAAGCTGGAACTTCCTGTAAGACCATGATGAAGTTCCCCTCATGGAACTCATGGATTCTCTTGTCAAGCAAAAGTCCCTTTGACATCAAAGTCCCTTTGTCCCTTTGACATCAAAGGCAATCCTCCTTTTGACCAAGAAGAAAACGAACACCTGGATGTAGTATATTGCTATTGCACCTTACAAATTTCTTTCACAAATTATGGATTTGTGAAGAAAAGATGTTTTAGAAAAATTACAAAATTATCCTGTTATGCCTGAAAACCAGCCCTGCAAATTAGATTCATATACTAACATAAACAGAGGAAATTTTCCTGTCCCCACGACAAAAATATATTTTTCTCTGCAAGGCTGCTCAGCGTTCCTTATCATGACTGTGAATATTCCCATTGAAATCAATGGAATATTGATAGTCCATTAACAATGAAGGCCTGTCTCTGGATCCAGACCTATTCCCACGGAAGTACATGTCAGGTTTCCATCTGATTTCAGCATAACTGAGATCTAGCAGTTGTGTTTTACAATTCTATGCCACCACAGCCTTAAGTATTCAATTAAAGCTAATGTATGTGTATGCCATTATGTTCAGTAGGACTACAGATATTCTGAAAACTATATATGCTTATGTATTTTTCTGAACCAAGATCAGCATTTTATTATAATAACTTCCTGAATCCAAGCCCAACGTTTTGTTTTAAACTATATCTTTTATACTGTTAAACTGGAAACTAGATCAGTGAGTTTGCAGTAAATCACATATTTGTGAAGTACAACTGTTTTAATTCACAGAATCAGGAATGTATCTTTGATTTTTTGCTGAAAATAATGTTATGAATTCTAATGTCTTATGTATGACAGAAGGAATGAGTGGTTAATATTAAGGTACCTGAAAGTAAAAATTACCCAAAATATTTTTAATTTTTGATATAAAAAAAAGTTATGGTATAAAGTGAAATTAAAAAGGATTTAACGTTGTGATTACCCAGCAATATAGGAAAACATAGTCCTGTGCCTGTATACCTGCACTCAAGCTCTAAGAATGTAATTTTTCCATGATTACCTTGGAGATCAGGATTTTAATATGTCAGAACTTACAGTGAATTCAGAAATCACTCACTGACTGAAGCAGGAGCTGTTCTGATATTTAGAGCTAGATTCAAGTTTTCTGAATGCCTCACTTTTTGGGCACACCTCTTTCTCACTGACTGGCTATGTTTCAAGAAAGTGTCCAGTGAATATATCATTTCAAATATGATCCTTCAGGGATAATCTGTGGAACACACAGACCAGACAGATAATGATGTGCCACTCTGCTACTGTCATTTGGACTGCTTTAAGCTGTCTTCACATCACTGAAAAACAAAGATGCACCAAAAATGTAAAAATTGCAGAGAGAATTTCAGGCAAAAATCACTGACATTTTGCCAATGTCCGGAAAAAAAACCCCACCACCACCAACAACAAAAAACACATAGCCTTGCATTTTCCTTGTTTGGATAAGAAAGAATTTATTAGTATTTCTGAGAACATAAAAATTTATGAGTTTCCTGTAGATTTGCATCTTATCATAGATTAACTTTGGTGTTTAATGTGCTCTATAAGAGATTTTTTTTCCTGACTGCTAGAGATTTACTAATTTTCTTTCTCATATGGATTCTCCTATGACTGATAAGGAATGGCTTTACACTGCATTGTTTTTCTCAACAGCAACATTGCTAACTGTATCTGTCCTCTACCCAGCTACTTATTTTTATGAAGCCTGTAAGCAACTCCTTGCCTTTGAGATCTATTCCAGTATTCTATAGAAATGAAACCAACAAACAGTTTCAAGGTTGTTATGGGAGGACAGACAGACATACAGACATGCAGACAGATCACACAGCCTTCTTTAAGAAACCAGGTTAAAACCAGATACAGACAACGTATTAATTACAAGGGAAGCAGCAGGCCCTGACTATTAGCTGAATGTTAGTGTGTAAAAAGCTTTATGAAGCACCATATTTTTCACACCCTTCTCTTCAACCCACTCCTCCATTTGAAAGAATCTTTCTGTCATATAGATGTTTCTGTTGTGCTTGAGTTCTTAATATATTACTACAAGTATTTCTTACATTTTGCTTTTTGTGAATGCACAGATCTCTCAGTAAATCTGAGGAAATATGTGATATTTGAAAAAACAGTTATTTGTGTTAGAACTGTGTTCACCCTCACAACTCTCTCTGCTAATATGTAGAATATTTGAAAATGCAATGTAAGTGAAAACTTCACTTCTTTAGTAATGTTAGGGAATGATGTTCGCAAGTCTTGTTCATAATTAGTTTTCATTTTGGTTTGCTTTAACACAACCAATTCTCTATTGAACACTGCATTTCTACCTAGCAGCAAAAGACTGTATTATCTTTATAAAAGGCTTTTCACTTCTAAAAGCTGTTTGTTCACTTCAAAGGACATTTTATTTGAGAGTGCATGCCAGAGACATAAATGGTATCATTTAATAAAATGATTTTACCAATCAGATGAGAAACACGATTTTGTTTTCTCTGAATTCTTGTCTGTTACTTCTTGTTTCCAGATAATCTAAACCCAAATAAAGCCTAATCTCTCTCTCTCTCTCTTTTTTTTTCCTGCACCATTTTTAGATTCACTGACTTTGCCTGTCTGTGACCTCCTGCTGATACGAGCTTCCAGAAGCTTAAATCAACATCAGGTCAAATGGCAACATGTCAAAGACAACAGAGTATCATTTTCACACCAAGTAAGCAGAGGAAGAAAACACACTGAAGCACAATTTACACATTGAAGCACAATGTCAGGTAAAATGACATTGTCAGGTCAGTTTTTATCATCTGAGCATTTTCATCCCACTGTAAAAACCTGCAAATAACATCTGCTTCCTATAATTGTCAGACTGACAAGCATATGAACTTCCATTCAATTCCTGACAATTTGATCAGAAGGACTAGATTTTTCTATTCTATTGTAGTTTATTCCTAACTGAAATATGTTATTTTAAGAGGCAATAAACACAAGAATAAATTGTGAACCTACTCACAATATTAGTTAAATTTTTGGGTGAAAAAACTCTTAGGGGGTAAAAGGATGGCATGTACAATATAGCTGTGAAAAGCCAAATCAAGTTTTCACTATTTACATCAATCATTCTAATGAATCACAAAGCAATTTTTGCAAACAGAAAAATTCTGCAGAGAGAATTTTGCCACCAAGAGAAGAGAAATCACCGATGCATGTAAATCTAGGAGCTATTAAACTGGCCAAAGCACTTCAACAGCTTAGCTCTACAAAGGGCTTACAAGTTTCCAGGAATCAGCATTTTAACATTAGCTGCAGTTGCCTGTCCCAGTCATACACAGTATTTTTACTCTTCTCTAGTACATTGCTTAAGTACATCATAAACAGAGAAAGCC